AATTACCCTCCCCAAATAAACTCTGCTTCCAGATATTGACTCCGGCTTGGAGCCTGGGGTCAGTGCCCAAGGAGAGCATGATGGCCGTGCATCATCACTTCACGTCTCCAAAACCCAGCTGGCTTTCGGTAGCCCTACAGCACCCCCAGCACATCCCTAAAGCACTCAGCATGGAGGCAGGGTGCTCAGCGGCCCCAAAACCCACTGCCCTCCCTGCTCACCTCCATGAACTCCGAGCTGGAGCCCACATGCTGGCGGAAACACAGCAGGAAGTTCTCCTCCGTGGGCAGGATCTGGGCCAGCTGCAGGGACAGCTGGTTTCAATGGAGCACTGCACACACCCCAGCTCCACCATCCCTCATGGCCCCGCAGCCCCGTCCTCTTCCCGCATCCCTCACCTCTGCCATCTCGATTTTGCCATCTGCATTTTTGTCATACTTGTGCATGAACTCCTTCATCTTGTCGCCCAGGCTGTCCCTCTTGGAGTCCTGCCAGCAGCAAGAGGGGTCGGGAACATTTTCCCTATCCCGTCCCATCCCAGTCCCCATTCTCATCCCTGTCCTCATCCCATCCCACCTCCACCTCCACCCCCATCCAATCCCCACACCCACGTCCATCCCAACTCCATCCCATCCCCATTCCTGACGCCGTCCCATCACCATCCCTGGCCACGTCCTTATCCATGTTCCCATCCACGTCTTCATCCTCATCACCACCCAACTCCCATCTCCATTCCATCCCCATCCCATCTTCGTCTTCATCCCATCCCACCCCATCCCAGTCCCCATCCTGTCCCCCATCCCCATCTTCATCCTCATCCCATCTCCATCTTATCCCATCCCCATTCCCGTGTTCTGAGAGAGGGGACACAGGACACGTAACCTGGTTGGGGTGACACCAAATGGCCCAAGTGCCACGGCCACCAGCATCCCAGCATCACAGCAGGAGCTGATAGATGACCTGCGCCTCAGTTCCTACCCCCTCCCCCTCTTCCAGAAGCCCCACAGCTCCTCTATTGCTTTTAATTAGCGCTTCCTCATTAAGGCTGGATGCCACCAGCACAGCAGCATGCACACCCCACCCCAGCGCTGGTCCCTACACGCGGGGCCACACGGTGACCTTACCACCCCGGTGCCCTTCCTGGCACTTTCCAGCTCCTGGAAGAAGTTTTCCAGCTCTTTGCCTTCGATGTAGCCATTCCCTGGGGAGGGGGAAGAAAGGAAATGAACCCCCCTTGTGTACGCAGAGCAGGGATGGGACGGGGGGTCCGATGCCACCGGTGGGACGCTGGGGGGGGTGTGCAAAGCCCCGGCCACCTCAGCCCGCCCCAACCACCACCCCAGAGGGTCTTCTAGAGCCCTACAGCCCCCCACAACCCCTGGGGGCACAGAGCCCGGGGGGCTGCGTGGCGCTGGGCTGCGTTTTGCTCTCTTTGCATCTTTGGGTTTTTTGCATCTTTCAGTTTGTGCTCCGGTTCTTTTTGCATCTTGCGTTTTTCTGCTTTCGTTCTTTTTGCATCTTTTCAGCTTTTGCTTCTTTTTCATCTTTGTAGTTTTGCCTATTTTTTTTTTTAATTTTTGTTTCTTTTTCCCTTTTTTTTTTTTTTTTTTTGTTTTTTTTTTCCCCCTTTTTTTCCTTTTTTTTTTTTCTTTGCCTTCACCCCTATTTTTTCCTTTTCCCCTCCTTTTTGCCTTTTCTCCCTTTTATTTCTTTTTCCCCCCTTTCCCCTCTCTCTTCTTTCCCTTTCCCCCTTTCCATCCCGCTCTCTCCCGACAAACCACCGCACCGAACACCCCGACCCCGTCCGGGCTCCGCGCTCCGCTCCCATCGGAGCAGCACCGCATCGCCACCTCCACACGGCGAGACTTCGGGACCCGCACCGAGCCCCCCCGCCCCCCCCACCCCCCCCCGTTCCCCATCACTTCGCACTCCCCCCTCATCCCGGCTCTCACTGACCGTCGGCGTCGAAGTGCCGCCACACGTCGAGGAACTGCGAGGCGCTGAGCTCCGCCAGGTGCAGGTGCGGGGCTCGCTGCCCCGCCATCTCCCCGCCGCTGCCCGCCGCCCGCCGCCGCCCCCCGCTTTTATACCCGGCCGACCCGCGGCCGCCAGGGGGAGCGCGGTACCGCACCGCACCGCACCGCACCGGGCGGGGAGGGATGCGCCGCGTCATTGCCCGGCTCCTGTGCCACCTGCCTCTGCCCAGTGTCACCCAGCCCTGCCCCGTGCCCCCTGCCCTGCGTTAACCGCCTCGACCCGGTGCCACCTGCCCAAGTCGCTTCCCCTCGCCCCGTGCCGCCTGCTCAGTGCCGCCTACCCCCGTCCTGGCACCCATCCCTGCCCCGTCACCTTCCCCTGCCCCGTGACACCTCTCCCTTCTCAGCGACATCTGCCCATGTCATCTATCCTTATCTACTTTAGTTCTCTGTCTCCCACCCCTGTCCCTTGTCCCCTACCCTCGCCCCACGCTTCTACTCGGTGTCCTCTATCCCACCCCGCATCACTCACCCCTGCCCTCTGCCACCTACCTCCTCCCAGCACCCTGACCCCTGCCGCATACCCCTGTCCTCCCATCACTTTGCCCCTCCCTTCTGTCACTGCATCCCTCCAGGCATCGTCACCCCCTCCCCACGTCACCTGCCCTGGTCCTGGGCCATCTGAACCCCCCACAGGAGGAGAATTTCTGCCCCCTTCCTCCTCCCCCCAGACTGGGCAGGGACAATTCCCATGGCCCAGCACACAGCATCCCAGGGCTTTGGGCACCGCTGTCCAGCAGGATGCGTTGCCATGGCTACAGGGGTGGAAAAAGATAATTCACATCCAGAGCTCTCAGCTGATGGATGTGATTAATTAATGACGGGAAGAACGCAGGGACGCTCGGCACAGGGCAGGAATGCAGCCCTGGTGTCCATAGGATGCAATGGAGTGTGAGGAGCTGAAGCTTTGGGGAATAAGTTTTGGGGTTCAGGGTCTGGCCCCATTGCTTTTCCTTTCCTCTCCCTTTAAAGTTTCACCCCTGACAGATGCAATACGATGTGGCCAAGAGCAGCACATCCTTGCAGTGCAGACCATGGGAAAAACCAGAAAGCCCTCCATTCAAAGGCAGATTTTTGGTAGAGAGAAATGTCTGATGGAGTTCACTTAACTTCAGGGCAAAGCACAGGCTTTTTTGGCACCTGCCCATCCTGAAACAGACCCCATTCAGGTCCTGCTGGGTTCCTTGCTAACCCCCAGCACCAGAACAGCAAACACAAAAAGCCCCTTTCCAGGATCGCAGCAAGCTTTATTTCCCCCCTGGCACCGTCGTGCCTTTGGAAACCCATCAGCAATAAAGGTGGTTGGGCTGAAAGTGCCTCAAAACCAGATGGATCCTCTCATTCGTGGTAAATCTCCCCCTCATTTCAGATTGGGCGTTGGGCAAAATTTCTTCTTGGACTGAGCAGCGAGGCACCGGCCTGCAAGGAGCTGGAAGAGCCACCATCCCTAGGGATGCCCAAGAGCCCTGGGGATGTGGCACTGAGGGACGTGGCCTAGAGCAGTCATAAGCACGGGTTGACGGGCAGAGATTGGAACTAGATGATTTTTTAAGGTCCCTTCCAACCTAATCTATCTACGGTTAGACTAGGAAGTATTTCTAGAGAACAATTTGGCAAAGGTAGAAGAGTCATTTGGTAGATGTTGGGAACCCATCCGCACATGGCTTCACCCTAAAAGCTGCCTTACATGCAGTCCCACCCTACAGCCATCCTTGGAGCCCACCACCTCAGGGAGGGCCAATGGTGCTGGAGGAGCCCAGGCCCCCACCCAGAGGCCTCCCTGCACACTGCAGCCCAGCCTGATGCTGCTTAATTAACGAGGCCACCTGAAATCCCAGCCTTAGCTACGGCCAACCGCACAGCTGCCTTCTTCGTGCACTCGAGAGGCTTTGTATTTACCAAGTATTAATTAGATGAACATGAAGCACCATTTTCCAGGCAGGGGGATATTAGCCAGCCTCCCACTGCCCTGTAACAAAACAAGCACAGGCTGGGGTGGGTCTGAGAAGGGAGAGGGGAAAGTTGGCTGCTCAGAGAGCTGGTGCTACCCCATCCCTGCACACAGCCAAGGTCAGGGAATGGGGCTGTGAGTGCTGATGGAGCTGTGGGTGTCCCTGCTCAGTGTGAGCAGACGGCCTTTAGGGTCCTTTCCATCGCAAACCATCCTATAATTCTGATGGTGCCAACACCTGCATCGCTCCCAACACAGCATCATCCCTTGGTACCAACACAGAAGGCTCCAAATATCCACCCAGACAAATTCACTGAGCCACAGCATCCTTCTGTGCCCCAAGGCAAAGGGACGTCACAGTGGGCTGAAGCCTGCATGGAGTGCTGGCGTGCAATTGATCCACTAAATTTAGGAAGGCAGATTGGAAGCTCTCCACGATGAGCTGGGCTGCTGGGTTCAGCCTGTGTCACTGGTGAGCGCTGGCTCTGACTCCATGGGCTCGATGGAGAGCTCCAAGATAAATGAATGTAAAAAATCATCTCGTAATTACAGCCCCTGCTTCACACTCAGCCACAGTCCGACCTTTGGGGGATAATGAATAATGCATTGATATGGGGAACAGTCACCTTTCCCTCATAGCCCATCAGCATAACGAGAGCACGGTGGCTCCTGATGTGTCCTAGGTTCAATTTCTTCATGGAAAGCTCAATCTTTCCACAGGCCAGCAGAGGACTTTCCTAGGCCAACAAGGCAGCTGGCTACCAAAAAGGGGATCATTGCAGCAAGATTCAGAGCAAACCTCAGCATCCAACTAGCTAAAGCACAGAGACAAAGCTCAAACATCTCCTCCCAGTTGGGACATCAGAGTGGGACCATCCCAACCAGAAAGAGAAACCAACAATCTGTACCAAACTGGAAAACACTGGGTTCAAACTGGGACCAGCTCACCAAGGGCTCTCCCTCGGCACATCCTAGCATCCATGCGCTGTGATTCGGATGCTAAACGCTTGAGGTCAGGGGGAATTTGGGCCGAGCTTGCTGATGAGGTGCACAACCAAGTTCTGCAGGGCTTTGGCCTGGGCCGCTGAGACGCGCAGAACATCTTCGTGGCTGGCTTTCTCCTGGCTGCCATAGCTCATCACTGCCGTGTTGGTGATGAGGGACAGCCCGAGGACACACAGGCCACAGTGCCGGGCCACGACCACCTCTGGCACGGTGCTCATGCCTGGGGAGGAGAGGAGCAGGATGAGCGGAGCTGGTTTGGATTCACAGCAAAACAGCTCTCTGAAAGGAGGTCGTGCCAGGGGAGGTTTGGGCTGCATAGAAAGAGCAGTAAGGCAGTGAGAGCTGCCCCAGAGGATGGAGGGAGTCACTGTGCCTGGAGGTGTCCCAGAGCCGTGGGGATGTGGTGCTGAGGGATGTGGTAGAGTAGGTTGGGGTTGGACTTGGGGTCATGAGAGGTACTGCAGTTGCCATCCCTGAACAGCCAGAGCTCTTGTGGAGGTCTGCTTTGTAGGGAAAGGCACAGCAAGAGTTCCAGAATGTTAAAGATCATGGAAAAGCACAATTATTTTTGATTAGGTCCCACTGAAGTGGAGCCACCTGAGCGTGGGATACATATGAGTTGGGAAATAAGCAGAATATTGTGCTTGGCTCCTCGTTCTAGACACCATAAGCACACAGACTCGCTCCGCAGATCCATCCTAGAAGACCAGAAAGGTCAGCCTTGTGCAGGACGAGTTGTTTAACCCATTGCTAAGCACCCTTTTGAACCACAGAAGCCTGGCCCATGCAGCTCACCCACAGCATCTGCTCCCAGGGCCTGCAGCAGGTGGCACTCGGCGATGGTCTCATAGCAGGGACCTGCCATCATGCAGTACACCCCATCTCGGGTGAAGCCCAGGAAGCCCAGCTCCTGGGCACTCTCCATGGCCAGGCTGAGCAGATCTTGGTCATAGGCATCAGACATGCAGGGGAACCTCACGCCGAACCTGCAAGGCACAGGGAGGCACAGGGAGGCACAGGGAGGCACAGGGAGGCACA